TAGCTCAAGCTAAATCTGGTGCAAAGCATCTTTAATGTATTTGCACATTGTCCCTGTTGAAATAAATTAATAAACTAAACTAAACTTGGTTGTTTAGCAATATTTGAGATTTTTCCGAAATGGTGCGTTCCTCTTTAGTAGTCCTTGGGTTGACCGTTCAGTCTGTGCTGCAACGGTTTCGCTGCTTTCTCCTGCGAGGCGTTTCCATGGTGACCAGGATGCCCTTGCGTGGGCGTTAGACGGAGTTCCCCGTGAGTCGGCTGTAGTTCAGGGAGGGCTTTTCTCTATCGAAAAGCAAGTGTACTCTTCAAATTGTGCGTATTGGTACAAAAATAACATGGATTAAAAAAAAAAAAAACTCTAATTTGAAAACCGGGCAGCTCCAGAGGCTTTGAATCATTAAAAAGGATTTAATTTTGATAAGGCCAAGATTAAGACCTTTATAAGCTTTTAAATAGGATGAAGTGGCATTGCATTTGGGAGATTGTTGCATTATGTGTTGTCCCTACACCAAAATGGAAATAATCTGCAATTGACTCTTTTGTATAAGAAAAGTGCAAATAAGGTCTACTTTGGAGAACTTGACCCGACCTGGAGCGACTGAAAGACGCCTGATTCAGAACGTGACGGGGATATTCTTTTCCTCAAAGATGGACAATGTGTTGAGATTTAAAATGTGTTTTGATAAAGCTCACTACTTGTAATTTACTACTACTACTCATTTTATTGTTAGAATATGTGAAGGCAGGGTTAGGGTTTGATTTTAAACTGATTTTAATAACGAGACAGCTCTTAAAATAATATATTTAATGGGGAATGAATTTGCCTCATAACACATCTGATTTATAATTTACCCAATTTCTCCACGTTACGGAGATCTCACTGACACTGAGGGTCTCGTCATTTTAAACAATTACTCAAGTTCATAACGGCATCGAATTAATTGATAACATAAAACCTTAATTACTATTTTGTTTCCCAGGATTTTATCAGTTCATTTCTCTGACAACTTAAAACTGAGATGTTTGCAGGTCAAGAGCGCAGAACAAATTGTGCCTAAAGACAATCGTATGAATTAGCGTTGTTACCGTTGGGTCAAAGGTCACTTTGTGCAGACGAAGATGGGAATTATACTGATATTATATTGTTATTCTTAAAATGATGGTTGCTTTAAAGATATTACTGATTATATACTGTCGAGTGCATCATTTATTGTTAAAATAATTGTGGGTATACAACATGCAAATACAGTTGGATAATGATTTAAAACATATATTTTGACATATTTTTGTTTATTGATTTTGCTTCTTTCAGTCCAGTCATTTTTCAGCTCCGTTCATTTGAACTGTTTGTGTCTGAGAGAACAGCAGAGAATCTAATCTGATATTGACATTTCTCATTCTCTCCTTCGGCCTCAGAGATTTTCTACATGTTTTTAGTATTATAAATTACACCATTTTATCTGCAGAACTATTTGACATTTGTAAATGACACGTTCACTGTTTCTGTTTTTCAATGTAAATGTTCTTCTTAGAATCAATGTCCCGTGTGACGGTGTGTGCAGTCTGAGGTCCTGGTCTGGACTCTGGAGGCACAGTCTATAGGCAGCTCGGTGTTACTCATTATGGAGACTGTTGGCCTCATCGTCTCAAACTGTTTATCTACAGACAAAGACCTTTCAGCCTTTCCTTCCATCCATCCATTTTCTACCCTTTAGTCCATTTCTGGGTCAGGGGGGTGGCAGTCAGAGATGCCACCCAAGTCTCATAGCACCAGCCCCTCACTGACCCTCTGCAGGTGGTGAGTCCACAGGAGGACGGCTGCTCTCTGACTGTGAGCATAGCCTTGATCTTTCACAAGCCTTTCACAATAATCAATATATAGATTTACCCTTCAATAACCAAACAATGAAACATTATGTTTTGATTCAGTATTTATCGTCTGCACGGTCTCATTTCAATGGCGAGATGATTTTTTTTACATTTAAGTTTGACTTTTGATTTTAAATAATGTATTATTTTGTTTAGAAAATATATTTTACATTCATTTTTGTCCAAAATGTGCAAGGCAGAGTCTGATCTGTCTGGCAAATACTCCGGCTCATGAGTAAGACGCTCGGGAAACGGCTTCTCGCAAGATCAGATTTATTCTTGTATCTTTTCTTAGTCACGGCAGTAATCAGCTGAGAGTTTAGTAACGAGTATTGTATCTCCAGAGACAAGACGGTGCACGTCTCATGCAGTAGATGTTCCATCAGAAAGTGTGAATGTGGCAGCCCACGACACACTCGCAGCAAAGCAAAGCAAATGCTGGAGTCAACTATCTCTGCATTTGATCTGATAAACCACTTTTATGAGTCAAGTTTACAGCATTAGAGGTGCTACTTGGTTAAATGAATTGTATGGCACTGGTTTGTACCGTCCATCCATCCATTTTCTTCCCCTTAATCCATTTCTGGGTCGGGGGGGTGGCAGTCAGAGCTGCACCCAGTACACAGAGCACCAGCCCCTCACTGATCCTCCTGCAGGTGGTGAGTCCACAGGAGCTGAGATCTTTCAGTGGGAGCTTCAGGCAAAGTGGGGTTAAGTGTCTTGCCCAAGGACACAACGACAGCAGTTATCAGTGGGAGTCGTGAAGTAGGTCTTATGGTGGGCTTGAACCCACGACCTTCAGGCTCAACTCTACCAACTGAGCCACTGTCGCCTGGTTTGTACCGTTTCCAGCTAAATCCCAGCAGGTGGTTTGCATCTGTAATCAGTGCTGACATGTGTCGGCTCAGAATATTTTGTTATCAAAGGTCACAGATGGAATGACTGTTTACCCAGTAACCGGGAACACTACATGTGTCTGTTCTGGTTATTGTCATGAGGTTAATTGGGAGAACATGAATTGTTGGTGATCAATAAATTGGTATCAACCTTTTTAAAAGTCTCCTCACTCGCACTTTGTTTTGGTCCTTCTGCAGATAGTTTGCAGAATGAGAATCATGCATTTGTCCACATGTTGGTCTGGAGAGTGTTGTTTGAGCTAATGGCTTTTACGTGACATTGTTGTGACGTTGTGTTGTGTTGTGTTTAGCATGTTTCTGTTATTGCTGCTGTTCTCACTTTCCTTTCACTAAACTATTCCAGCTCACAAAACACAATATATATATTTTTATCATAATAGTTTGTTACTTAAGTTGGGCTGCACGATTTTGGCAATATGTCTCCCAGAAACTGATATTTCTAATCAACGATGTGATTTTCAACACTATTTCCACACATTTCAGAACATACAGAAAAGTTATTTTGATAACACTTAATTAAATATGTATTATTATAATTTTTTAAGAAATCTCTCTAAATCCTGAGTTGTGCAACACATTTTGACCTTTTACATTGATGCTGTCTGATTTGAATGAGAAAATAATGCTTCTGCCCAACAACAGGATAATGGTTTGTAAGATATTTCAGATAAACTCAAATTGAGAAACATGTTCCAAGATAAAGATTTATTTTTTTGGCTTTAGTATCCGTTTTTGAGAAGAATTTTGTAATTAGCAAATCCCAAAGACTGCAGTTATTGAACACATAAATTGCCATCAGCTGTGAATAATTGTGCAACCTTAGAGTAAAGTACCACCATGACTTATTATTGTGATGTAGATCTGCTCCTGAAAGCAGCGACCAACAAGAAGCACAGCCAGTATTCTGACTAAATGTGTTCAAAGCTCATTAATATTATTCAGTTCAATTAAATGAATTTTCTATAGCCCTAAATCAAGTACAAAGTTAGCGATTCTCCAACCCTGATCAGAATCAAACGATAAAAAATAATAATAGAGCCATTGGTCCATAAGGGGTGGAGGACCAATGTCTATAAATGTGAATGTCCTGGATCATCACCACAGTCCTTAGACCCTCCTGCCGTGGCAAGGAACAACTCAAAAACCCACATTGAGGTTCACGTGGGCTACCCAGAAATTTTCCCCATAGAACTCAATGCATATTAAAACAGCTCAACCTCAGCTGACAGAGAACCTACAGCTTTAATAAAGATTGGATTTTGTGGGGATTTTAGTGTCCCTTGTCATCCTGAACTTTTTTTCTTCTTAAATCCTTCGGTTTTGTTTAAATCCACACTTTACTGCCACAAACTCTGCTCGTCTGGCTCTCGCTCTAACTCCCGCTCTGATGAACTGCTCTGATTGGTCAGAGCGCGGCCGAGACCCTCTGTGCACGTGCGTGAGACCCGGTGTGAGACCCACACACGCGTGTTTGGCGCAACGCATTATGGGAGATCATCCACTGCGCAGAACCGGGAGGACCAGACGATGCCCAAATACAGGAGAGTTTCCCATAGATCTTTGAGAGTTCCAGGCGACTTCCGCTAATCTTTCAGCCCCCATGCCGTCACAAAGCGCCACTGAGCACAACCATTCATTTGAATAGGGCGCCATCTTGAATCGCCGGGGCTTGGTTTTGGACCAGTCTAGTTTAGTCGCTGTGAATTTTTGAAGTCTCTCGTTCAAATGAATGGAGCTCTTTCTTGTGGGCGGGACCACTCGCGGCCATTTTGGATAGCTCCAGTAGAGCACATTTTTTGGCCCATTAGTTAGAACGGCGGAGATAAGCGTGACTCTGTCCGTTAATATATACAGTCTATGGATTGCAGCTTTTGTTTTCCAATAAAATATATCAATCATTAGGTGCTCTCTAAATGGACTCCAATACATGAATGTGCAGAGAGACAAAGAATTCAAACAATTTGAAGCTAATAATTATGTTGTCACGGTAGTTCTTTGATCTAAAAAAAATATTACGTTGAAAATGAAAGTACTGATTTCTGTCTGCCTTGTTATATCAGCATCTATGTTTCAGCTGAAAAAGGAAAATGATGCTCTGCACTTTTTGTTATGATTTTGATGGAAACGTTTCCTATGTCAAAACATTTTAGTTGATACTTAATACATGAACATTCTTGTATTTGTGGCTCTATATTATTACTTACCACAGCTTTTAGCAGTATGGGCCGTCACATTTGTTATGGTGACAGTGTTCCAGCTCCAGTGTGCAGCTGTGATTGTGTGGGGGGTTGTTCCCAGGGCTGTCAGCCTGACTGAGGGGCTGACGGAGGGGCTGACTGAGGGGCTGACTGAGGGGCTGACTGAGGGGCTGACGGAGGGGCTGACGGAGGGGCTGACGGAGGGGCTGACGGAGGGGCTGACGGAGGGGCTGACGGAGGGGCTGACGGAGGGGCTGACGGAGGGGCTGACGGAGGGGCTGACTGAGGGGCTGACTGAGGGGCTGACTGAGAGGCTGACTGAGGGGCTGACTGAGGGGCTGACGGAGGGGCTGACGGAGGGGCTGACGGGGGCTGACGGAGGGGCTGACGGAGGGGCTGACGGAGGGGCTGACGGAGGGGCTGACGGAGGGGCTGACGGAGGGGCTGACGGAGGGGCTGACGGAGGGGCTGACGGAGGGGCTGACGGAGGGGCTGACGGAGGGGCTGACGGAGGGGCTGACGGAGGGGCTGACGGAGGGGCTGACTGAGGGGCTGACTGAGGGGCTGACGGAGGGGCTGACTGAGGGGCTGACTGAGGGGCTGACTGAGGGGCTGACTGAGGGGCTGACTGAGGGGCTGACTGAGGGGCTGACTGAGGGGCTGACTGAGGGGCTGACTGAGGGGCTGACTGAGGGGCTGACTGAGGGGCTGACTGAGGGGCTGACTGAGGGGCTGACTGAGGGGCTGACTGAGGGGCTGACTGAGGGGCTGACTGAGGGGCTGACGGAGGCCTGACGTGGGACAGTGGGACTGCTGCAGCTTGGCTAAAGTAAATATTATGGCGGATGGTCCATCAGAGACTGCTGCAGTCAAGTCATTTCACCCAAATTGTAGTCAGTGCTAGCTCTCTGTGCGTCGTCTTTCTCTGAATGTGTTGTGCTGTGATTTTGGATTTGTTTCAATGCTTGAAATTCATACTGACAGATGACATCGAAGACTTCTAATCCACTGACCCGTCATCTACTCATTTAAGGGCTGCCTCTGCTGATGTACTGTGCGTTCATTGAATAGTTTGCTTGAATAATGTCTTGAATAAACAACAAATACATTTATATTTATATTAGGCTTTAATAAGAGCACACATGGTCCATAGACATTAAAAACATATAGAATTAGAATTAGACTTTGCAGAAGCTCCGTCACCAGTGAGCACACCTGAGATTCCATATTACGAAGTGAGAACATTGCCACCGTCTTAAAGCTGGAGTACCTAACTTTTAAATTACCATAATAACCATAACTAGTTTTCACATGCATTTCATTATGGCTTTTAATGATCACATCACAACAAACAAAATATATTTATGAAACCCAGTTGTGTACCCCATCTTTAACTTCTATTATTCACTCGACATCAATATAAATACTGCAGTTATTGGTGAATGTAGACCACCATCAGTCTTCTCTTGAATATCATGTTTTTATGTGAAAATAATCTGCGTATATTCAAAACGTGCCTCTTCAGTCATCGCCAATGTCAACAATGCTGATGATAATAATAATGCGTGTTTGTGTACAGTTAATATTTAATTGAATCTCCCTCTGGCCTTTATGTAATCCTCACTAAAGGTCATTACCACAATTATTTTGGATCTAAACTCTTTTTAGAATTATAATAATGTATTTTTCCCAAGTCTATACCACTACAGTTGGTCTATCATTCTCCAGAGTCATGCTATACACGTATTTCTCAATGCATGGGATTAATAGCATTGTAGTGTCCTGATTGGTCAGCAGCCTGCGGTGGTGGAGCTGTGACGGACACTCATTCACACAGGTGCATTCTTAAAACAGCTCTGCCCCAAGCCTCCAGTCTCCGCAGCGTTTCAAAGGTCTACTCCCACTCCCTGGCTGAATCACGGAGAGCAATGCTTTTAATAGTAATGTGATGATGAAAAACATCATCTGCGCAGTATGGCATAAAAAACTCACAGGAAAGCCACGGAAAATACTGTATATACGAAACGTTTCATTATTTCTGACAATTGTTGAGGCATATTCATTCTTTGTCAGACTTTTTGCAATGAAAACCTCCTTTGCCAGCATGGTATTGACTTGATGTATCCTCACAATGTTTAGCAAAGTCAAAGTTTGTTCATCCACAATCTTCCACTTGTCTGTTGTGCACGCTTCCTAGTCTAGCTAATCCCAGGGAATCCCTAAGTATTCCTAGGCTATCTGAGGGATATCTTTCCCGGGGCCTTCTCAGTGGGCTATCGACCCAGGTGGACATGGCTGATGCCTGAGCCAACTCAACTGGATTCTCTCACCGTGGAGAAGCAGCGGCTCTTCTCAGAGATCCTCGCTCTCTTAAGGGAGCGCCCTGCCACTCTGCCGCTCTGATGTCGTAAGGATTCGTCATGGTGTGCCACGAATGAGATGGGATCTTTTTGACAGAAGTGGCGAGGGAGGTGCTTGTGCCGCCTTGTACTAGGAGTGTATCTTTGTGGATGGAATGGAAAACGACTCCAGGTCTGTTCGGATCGGATCAATAGTAAAACCTCAAAATGCAAGTACACTTAGCACCAGCCCCTCACTGATCCTCCTGCAGGTGGTGAGTCCACAGGAGCTGGTCTTCCTGAACATGCGAGACAGGCTTCTTCTCTGGAATAATACATTACATAGTTACACAATCTTGCTGAATTGGGGAGGCGACATTTCAGACTTACGCTGCTAAAATCTGGAAGTCTTCCTGAATATGTGAGACGGGTTTCTTCTCTGTCAATGTTGAAATCCAGGTTAAAAATAGGTCTGTTTAGCTGTGCGTACAACTGAGGGATTTTATCGTTACTCTTTAGTACTGTGTTTTTGTGAAGTTGCTGTCTAATACCGGGCGATACAAATAAACTTGCCTTGCTCATGACGTCCTTGCGTGATGTAGATTCTCTTCAGTATAGTATCACATCAGACTGAACATAACCTGTTGCACACTCTCTGCTGCCAGTTCTTCAGGCTGCTGGCAGTTGGCTCCTGAGCCTGTGGTGTGAGCCAGTGTTTGACAAACCTGTGCCCACTACACACTGCCAGTCTGTTAGTGTGTGTGTGTGTGTGTATGTGTGTACGTGTGTTCCCACTGCAGCCTCACTACTTCCTTTGACAAACCCACTCTGAGAGGAAGCTTAGTCTGCACCAGTCACACCTCTGCGTGAGCAAGCATGGGCATGTGTCGCAGAGTCAGTGATGGCTCTTTTCAACTACTTTCAGGCCTACTCATATGTAAGGGTTTTGCATTCTGAATGATCATCTGTCGCCATACAGTTAGAATGTGGAATCGAGAATGTTCCAAACAAAAAGAACGATACAAGAATTGGTTTTTAGTTTAATTCTAGCATTTATGGGCCTTTTTGTAGACCTCCCCAAGCAAACCTCAAAAACAGTTTTCAGTCAGTACAAGCCCCGCCTCTTGTACAAGGCTCCTCACAGCCCCTCCCATCAGGTCGTGTTGACGTTGAGCAGGCCCTCAGAGTGATGAAGAAAGAAAATATAGGCCAACATTAGTATGTTGTTTTTGAGTAATAAGGTAGTAAGTTAGTAATAAGAGTAGTAAGGTTACATGAAATTCTGTAGCTTAGGTCCTAGATCTATAGCCCGTCCGTCCGTGGGAGCGGATCCCTTTCTCAAACCATGGGTCTCCCTGAGGTTTCTCACTTTTTCCCACTGGGTTTTCTTATGAGTTTTTCCTCTGATGCAGGAGTCTGTTGGGCAGTTAGTGTCCAACTAGAAGGACTGTGATGATCCAGGACACTTTAACATTCTACAACATGTATGACATTTATCAACACGTGTTCTATATTCTTTATGTGTTTAAACTGTTGATTCTCTGATCTGTGTTGGTGATTTCAATGGTTTTGTTAAGTCTCTGAGATGACCTCTGTTGTGATTTAGGGCTATACAAGAAAAAATTGTATTGTATTGTATGAAATCCGGTACCCTATAAAGTGTAAAACCAATTTGTAGCATTCACAAAAAACGGCTCTTTCTGTGCTCCCATTGACCTTCTTACATTTCATCTTACATAAAACATTTCTCTTGCACCTGACTCGGCCTGTGAGCTGATCTTTTTGTTTATTGTCTATATTGGTGCGCTCCGTGTCCTGAGTGGCCCTGGCCTGAGGCAGACTGGAGCGTGCCCACTCTGAGCCCGTTGGTATCAGCTATTATCCCCTGCAGACATGGGCTGTTTATCAGATGGTGCTGGCTCAGCGTGTGTGTGTGTGCGTGTGTGTGCGTGTGTGTGCGTGTGTGTCTCAGTCAGATAGTGCTGAGCTGCTGTTGGGGTGAGTGAACTCGAAGCACACTAAGCTTGTCCTCTTGACATACTTCTGAAGCACTGGGCTCTGAGCACCACTGCCACCCAGCTGTTCTGTGGTGATGTCTGCGCTCCTCCCACTGCAGTCGCACATGTGGCACTTTCCATTTACACACAGAAGCAAGCGCACAGATACACACCATCATGCACACACACTTTTAGACTACAGAGCAGAACGTCTCGTCTGTGTACACTGCTATACAATAACACGTTTATCAATTCATTTTGTTATCAATTTTAAACATAAAAAAAAAAACCTAGAATAGACTTGACTTCAGCTACGGTGATTAAAGTAGATCCCTTTAAGTTGCGTACTCCGTTGGTCCCCGTGAAAATGCCTTAGATGGCCCTGTGGGGGAGGGTTCTGCAGTTGAGACACGCACCAACCTGTAAAATTACCTCCAAGTTCTTGCGGTGGACACGCAGCTTTGGACTCTAAATTAGGCCCTAATTAGGTCTAAATGACTCAGGGCTGGTCAAGTTATAGGTAAAATCATCAATATTTTCTCTTAAGACTTTTTAGGGTCCAATGTTTAAAAAAATCCCACATTGTTCAGATCCTGAAAGGTCAGTGAATCTATTGACTTATCTAAATATGTGTTAATCGTGAACTTAGGCTATATCCACACAAAGACAAAACGCTTATAATTTCAGAAACTTTTTCTGTAAACACGGAGTTAGCTCAGTAAATGTGTGCGTCCATATGAATGTAGTCAATACGCCTGAAAACGCTGTGAAACTATGCCAGACCTGTTGGTGGCGCTGTGGCGCAATGACGGGATCAAGCCCAAACTTCCATGACGGGAACTGGGCATGCGCAGAATTTTGTAAACAGACAACATGGCGAGTGGGCGAGCTGGTACTACATTAGTATGGACGGACGATGAGGTTGAACTGTTGCTTCGGGTCGCACTGGATTACAAAACCAACAAGCTACATTGTTGTTGTCATTATTTTCTGAGTGCGGCGCATGCGTGCTTTAACAAGAGGCGGGGCGATGACGCAAGCGTCTCAGATACATTGCGGAGAGGCAGTAACCACGGAGCGGCATATACGGAGTTTTGAAATCTTTCCACTCTGGGACCTAGTTTCAAAAATGTTCGTTTACACCCCCCCAAAACGCCGGCCTCGTATGGACGATACACTGGATTGATAAAGTATTTTTGCGTTTAGGCCTGAGCTTGACTTCGTGTGGACAGGGCCTTAAACTACTAGAGTCATGTGAAAGCAGGACAGCGCTCTTCCTGTTAGAGCTAAGAGCCCTTTTTCTTTCACCTTTTTGTCCTGGTGTAACATTATCAGCACATTCTTCTTTATATGTTGACCTAGTATTGGATACACATGACATGTTGAGCTACCCTTTTTAACCTTGTTATGAGAATCACATAGGTTGTTTGTGTCCTCTCAGTAAGTATTCACAAGCGGAACCTCGATAACATAATCACAGGTTTTAACTTGTGACTGCTGATTTTATTGGCATTTATCTAACAAGGATCGTCCTAATACATTTATATGTATATGTAATATACATATAAATATGATAATGTATATGGAATATGAAATATGGGCATATTTTGTATATCCAAAAATTGGTTCATATATATATATGAACCAACTTGAACTCTGAGGAGCACAGGGACTGGACTCCTGCTGGGACTCTGAGGAGCACAGGGACTGGACTCCTGTTGTTCCCAGAGTCAGAACTAAACATGGGGAGGCTGTGTTTCAGATTTTTGCAGCTAAAATATGCAACAGTCTTCCTGAACATGCGAGACAGGCTTCTTCTCTGGCAATGTTCAAATCCCGGTCAAACAGCTCTGTTTAGGTGTTAGATTTGATCTTCACTTTTTTAAAAGTACTGTGAGCATTAATGATTTGAATTCCTTTTATTGTTTCTATCTATTGTTTTGTTAAACACTTTGAGTTTCTCTGAGTATGAACTGTGTTGTACAGATACTCTCCTTGCCTTGTCTTGCCTAGAGCTGCTGATGCCTTCAGCACAATATTGTGTGATAGTGACACAATTACAGTAACATTGGGCTGATAGAATTGGAATAATCCTGATATGCAGCAGTGGTGGACTTCAAGAACAATATTTATTGCAATATCATCCTTCGCCAAAGAAATCAATGTGAATGTTGTTCTCATTTTCTCTCTCATGTTGTGTAGGCTCGAGCAACAATATGAATGAACACAGGATTTATACATACAAATATTGCACATCTTTGTGATATCAATATTGACACATACAAATCAGTACATTCTTGTGTTATATAATCATGGCCTAAGGCTTTAACTGCATCCACAGAGCTCCCTCGTCACTGTCGTGGCTGTTCCTGATGTTTCAATACTTCCCAATCTCTGCCCGTCTCGGGTATGAATGTATTATATTATATTATATAAATGAGGTATTGCCAAGTCCCGGGTCTCCAAGAAGATCATATATAGAAAACCGTTGATTTTTATCAACGGCACGGTGGCTGAGTGGATAGCACTCTCGCCTCTCAGCAAGAAGGTCCTGGGTTCAAATCCCGGTTGGACCAGGGCCTTTCTGAGTGGAGTTTGCATGTTCTCCCTGTGTCTGCGTAGGTTTCCTCCGGGTGCTCCGGTTTCCCCTACCACTAAAGATATGTACAATAGGTCTGGCATGTGCCTCCTGTACTGGCACCCCCACTCCCAAAAAATAACAATTGTAAACCGCTTTGAGACTCCGATGTGCAGTGAAAAGGCGGTATATAAATAAAGATTACTTACTTACTTACTACTACTACTACTACTATTTTTATTATGCCTTTCTCGAGTCTCTATTCTTTACCTCTCTTTTCTGACTGATGTACCCAGAGCCAAAGCAATTTCTTAGACTGTGACTTTCTGTCACATACGTGGCAATAACAATGATTTTGATTCTGATTCTGAAACCTACAGTAGACTTCAGTGAAAATTGCATCGCAATTGAACATTGGTCAGAAATACTGCATATTTATTACAGATATTTTTTTGAATAATGTGGAGCTGGTCTGACGTTGACCTGCACACACCTGCTCCTCTGCTGCTGGTCGGGGTGGACTTTAATCCTTCAAACCCGAAGGAGGCTGCAGCTCTTTGATCTCTCATCTTTCTCTCCGGGTCTCTTTGCTCGCCCACATTTCCATCCTCTCTCCCTCTGATCCACACCTGTCTGTTCTGTACAGCCCACTCCGGTCGCCTTGGCACAGTTTTCTGATGCAACAGGCAAAGACGAGCTAATGTCTCTAAAACTAAATTTACGTATTAATGAATAGACCTGATTCTGGACACCAAATTCAATACCATATGTTTTTACCCTCTTTTAAACCTGCTTACCAGAGGTTTTATGACGCTATAATGACTGGAAAATTCAATTAAATTATGTTTCCAAAGTATCTATTATCAATCAACCTGATGCATAACAACTCTTCTCTTGGGAAATACTTTGTTATGGTCAAATGTAAAAAAAAAATCCCATATTCACTGAGCTTCCGGATTCCAAACAGCGTTTAGTCTTTGCTAAAAAGGGAAGCAAGTCCAAAGTATATAAAAAGAGGTTATGGCATTTCTCTTTGAAAATATTGAGCTGGAAGTACTAAAATGAACGCCCTCCAATTCTAAAGGACATCTAAAGGCTTCTGCTCATGACCAAAACTGTTCATATATTGATTTAAAGATTCAGATGTTGGCATATAACCTGTACATTCTAATGATGTCACAAATCTTCTGTCAATGACTTAACAATGCTGTCATATAATGCCATTAAGGTGTGTGAAGGTTGTGTTAAATGTGTATCTTTTATCGTTCACCTTCAGAAAGGGGAACAAAGAGATGGGCTACAACATTACCAAACCAAGTCGACGCTCGTTTGGAGAAGTGGCTTGTTGTAAAATCCCAGCGCACACAGATAAAGTGTTTTTCCTTTTCTAATTCAGAATCAGAATCATTTTTATTGCCACGTAAGTAACAGGAGGTCACAGACTTGGAAATTGCTTTGGCTCAGTGCAACAGTCAGAAAGAGATAATAAAAATAAGAATAAAAAACACTTCTAAAGAATAAATTGTGTGTGTGTGTGTGTTCGCAGGTGAGAGTGCGATGAGGCCAGGCTGCAGAGCGTGAGGCCATGGGCTGCACCTCGGCCAAACAGGTGTCGGCCGTGCCCAGTGATGAAGAGGGACGAGGCAAGAACTACAGCAATGGAGACCTCTATTCTGGTCAGTCGCACACGCAGCACACGCAGCAGACGCACACGCAGCACACGCACACGCAGCACACGCACGCACACGCACACGCAGCAGACGCACACGCAGCACACGCACACGCAGCACACGCACACGCAGCAGACGCACACGCACACGCAGCAGACGCACACGCAGCAGACGCAGCACACGCACACGCAGCAGACGCACGCGCAGCACACGCAGCACATGCAGCAGACGCACACGCAGCACACGCACACGCAGCAAACGCACACGCAGCAGACGCAGCACACGCAGCACACGCACACGCACACGCAGTACACGCACACGCAGCACACACAGCAGACGCACACGCAGCACACACACACGCAGCAGACGCACACGCAGCACACGCACACGCAGCAGACGCAGCACACGCAGTAGACGCACACGCATCACACGCACACGCAGCAGACGCAGCACACGCAGTAGACGCACACGCACACGCAGCAGACGCAACACACGCAGCAAATATGCAACTTTTTATCCATCCATCCATCCATCCATTTTCTTCCCTTTAATCCATTTCTGGGTCAGGGGGGTGGCAGTCAGAGATGCCACCCAAGTCTCATAGCACCAGCCTCTCACTGACCCTCTGCAGGTGGTGAGTCCACAGGAGGACGGCTGCTCTCTGACTGTGAGCATAGCCTTGATCTTTCAGTGGGGGCTTTGGGCAAAGTGGGGTTAAGTGTCTTGCCCAAGGACACAACGACAGCAGTCATCTGCAACTTTTTAATTGGGGATTATTGGGACTTTTATGGAACCGAATTAGATTCTATTCTGCCATATAAAGATTTAGCAGATTTTTCCCCTTTTTCATACATGTGTATGATTATATAAATGTATACA